TTTAGTTTTTAACACATCATTGCCTAAATCAATCATTTGGTTAACGCTGGCATAAATGATTACCCTCGAGACATTTCTTTGATCAATCACTGCTCCAAAATACGTTAAGGTCAACATCTGTTATCAAGTATTATTATAAGTCTGCCTCTCTTCCCCAAAGAATCATCTAAAACTGTTCAAAATTCTTAATTTGCAGCTTTGCAGATGTCCTTTTCCTATTCTGGAACCAGAAAATTGGCAAGCATGTATAAAATAACAATGTGATCCACGTTCTCCTTGGCTGCTGATGTAAAACTTTGGAGAAAAAATTCCTCAAATCAGGATCAAAACAGACAATGCTGAATGCATATAAGAACATTTAATGCACAAATGAACTACCGGTGCTTTTCTCTCTCCAGCAATTGACACGCTTCAGTGGAGGACTTCCACTGCATCCTTCTGAAGCAGGAGCCAGACAGGGCTGGCTGTGGTTCCAAGATATCAAAGCAGCAATGGCTGGGAGCCTGCAGGTGTACCTGGAAGCTGATCTGCACCAATACCACCACCAGAAGAGATGAGGGATTGGGAGGGCAGCATTAAAGCCCAGCTGGTGAAGTAGAAATATGGAAGAAAACAGTATAATGAAGCAGAGACAGGAGAACAGACTCTGAGGGGTGAATGGAATAGAGGTGAAAGATATGAGCCGTAATGCTGTCACTAAGGTTGAATTAAGCAAAAGATTGGCAGGGCCAGCCCTACCATTAGGCTGAGTGAAGCAGCTGTGTCAGGCAGCAGCTGTTGGGGGCATGGCAGCAAGGTGCTGAAGGCCATGGGCATGCCATGGGGCCTGCTCTGTGTCCTCTAAGCTAACCTGCTGCTTTTCATTGCAGTCGATGATATTGTCCTTTCATTAGGGATGGACACATAGGCCAGTTTTGCTTTCTCTTACTTTCTCATTTCCTCTAATCTTAAATTCAGTTCTCCACATTTTGGTTGGTGTTTCTTTTTATTTTTAAGTCCTCATGAAAATTCACCAGCAAGTTAGTGCAGATTCCTTCCAATACACCGCCCCACCCAATTTACCTCAGTAGCTTGCATTTCTGTATGCTGTTCTTACAAATAAGTTTTTTAATGCACACTTCACTCCAGTATATTTAATTTTCTATATGTTACTTGACTGAAGGACTGCACCGCAAAATTCAGAGAAGTACAAACTATGAAGGACGGCCTGTGTATTGTTTCACTAAGTGCAAATTACGGAGGGTTGCCTTTAAATGGGAACTGAATCATCCACCTCCCGCAATTCCCCACCTGTCACCAGTGTTAAAGTAGGATTCAACTGTTTGTCTGGTCAGCTTCTAGACATGGGATGTGGGAGGAGGGGCATGAGGCGCCATCTTGTCCTTCTCAGGCAGCAAAATATGTTCACTCAGGCCTGGATGGGAGAAGAGATCATAGAAGGGAAGGGAAGACATTTCTGGCTGATGTAATTGGTGTCCAAACGGACAAATGCAAGTTTTGAGCTCATCCTCACCCCCACATCCCAGATCCCATGACAGATGCAAATACTTTATAGCAAGAGTGGGTAGAAGGGGCTATACTTTCTGCTAGGGCTATGCTTCATCTAGAGTGACCTCAAAACTAAGTAAACAAGTCAGCCAATAGCTTCTGAAGTGAGTTAGCTATTCATGACATGTGGTCTTCTCCTCTCTAGTGGCACCATCACTGAGGCTTTGGTCAGGTATGCCTATAGGCCCAAGCCTGAAACCTTTGGAGTTTGCACTATTTTTGATCAACAAATCTCTTTAGGGTTCATTAAAGGCAAGCTTCCTAGACACTTCTTTTCTTACTGCTGTCTTCTTAGCTAGATTGGAGGGGCATTAGCACAAACCATTTCTGACAGCTGACAAACATTTTTTTTCTCTGTGAGGTGTGAAATAGCAGCGCTATTTTGTTCTGCCAAATTGCCAGCAGAATGGGAGGAAATAAATCCCACGGAGCCTGATTCTTAACTGCTTCCTTTACTAGCGGGGAGTTTATCCACGTCCTTAGCTTGGACTATCTCAGGGGCACAAAGATAAGTTCTCAGAGGCAGATTGCATGTAAATGTCAAGTGAGCAATTTTGCATCGAAAGGGAGAAAGGATGTCCCTGTTTTGTACTTCAGACAGGTTGCAGGAGTGATGTCATGCGCTTCATCTGGGCACTGAAACCCTGTGATGGGATGCCGTTCGTTCTCCACCTAGGGGTGTTCCTCTGACTATTATGTAAAGCATTTTTCTTATAGGGTAGGAAGAGAACAAATTTTATCTTCAGCTCATTATAAGGCAACACATATTGATTTTTTATTTATATTTAGTTATTTATTACATTTTGTTTCCCTACCTGAAACACAGCATACGCACACATACTGTGTATATCTTCAGATGGCTTGAAACTTTTGAAAGTAAACTGAAGCAGTATCACGTAACTACAGTCACACAACTTGCTCACTAAATAATTAAAATGAAACTGTTTGAAAAAATATGAAACACTGCAGATAAGAGGAGAAAAATGAATTCCCAGGTCAGCTCAAAACACCATCTCATTTATTCTTTGAATACCTGCTGGGATTTATTCATTTTTAAAAGCAGACCGCTCTGTTTGGGTACGTTTTCTCCCAAATTCTAACTGGTTGTTGACCATATGGAAAAATATTCTTGGTTGGTGCCACCCAGACAGAGTGGTGGTGGTGCATAAATTGCTTGGCTGCCATCGGTGCACCAGAGATGCTTTTAAATGGACTCTTGCCTGTGCCTAGTCAGATTCCTCCTGAGTTTTCCATCATTGCACTTAAGGTTGTTACCCCTGCTGCTTTGTTATTTGCACTTTCCTGAAACACCAACGCTTTTGTATGCAGGGATAGCCCTTCCCATTCTTTCTCTCCTCCTTGCCATCATTCCATATTTCATTTTTTTAAATTTCATTCTTATTTGATGTAACCCTTTTTTACATTGCTACACACAGCCCAGTTTACAAGTCATAGAAACAACAAAACACACCGTACAACAAAGATTGAACCCTATAACCATATGACCCCATGCAAAAAAATTATGTAAGCATATATTTCTCTCTCCTTACACACTCTCAATCCCTGTCGCTGCATTTGAAAATCACTCTACCAAGCACATCCAGCTGGTGTCAGGAGAGTGGCTCTGCAGTTCCACCTCTATGTCATTTTATTGCCAATGCAGCTAGCTGAGAAGAAGCTGTAGCAGCACTGACAGCCCTAGAATGCTGCTCCTTCCTTTCTCAATTGATAACTGGATGGACTCTGGCTCATTTGGCTCTCCAGCTGTTGCTGAACTACAACTCCATTCAGCTCCAGGAAGCATGGTCTATGGCTAAGGGTGATGGGAGTTGTAGTTCAGCAACATCTGGAGTGCTAGAGGTGCATTACAGCTGTTCTAAAGAGTATGCACCTGCCTCGGTGTTACAGTATTGTCATCTCCCACTAGCTGCCTCATATATATTCAGAGTGCATATTCTAGTCAATGTGGCAGAGAATGTATTACACTTTAAAATGCACTACTGTCAATACCAATCTGTCAAATGTTTGCAAATAGTAGCAGAGTCTTTATGCAACAATACATTTACTAATTTGCTATTAACCATACTGTATTACATCCCGAATATTACAAATAAGTTTGACTAAAATATAGTAAATGAGAACTTTGGTGAATTTTGCAGAGGTATTATTTTGGTGATAACTAGGGATGGAGGTTTCTGTTAGTTTCTGTAGCCATTCTTCAAACTAATGGAATATGCAGAAATGGCAAAACTTACCGGAAGAATAAGAAATCAAGATAACAAAGTCTTTAAGGGGGAATGGAAATCATTTGTTGAATATTTACAAACTCATTGTAAACAAATTAAGACATTTGCAGGATTAATGTAAAAACGTGCAGCATTGAAAACATATATGAAAAGGATGGAAATAAAATTAAAAATAGATTTAAATTGGGATATGCAGAAAAATAGACTAAATATAAGGAATCACAGAAAAAAGGGGAAGTTGAAATATGCAAAGATGATTCTGTTTGAAATGTTTGTCATAAATGAAAATAAAAAATAAAAAATAACTAGGGATGAAGGAGAAATGGGGTTCAGTTATATTTTAATGTGAACCTACTCAATCTCACTTGCTAAAAGAAACTGAAACCTGCACTTCTCCAAATTTGTGATGCAGTTCTCCAGTGAAATAATGTATACACAAAGACATATATTTAGGTAGAGGTGTGCATACAATGCATATATCAGTGAAAATAGCATACAAAAATTGGAAAAGAATGGAAAAATGAAAAACAGAGAGAAACAGGAACCGGCAGAGTTCTCTTTCCCTTGTGGTACCAGTGACATTTCTGTAAGGTTTGGACTTTTCACTGAGTCCAATGGGGAAAGAAATCAATTTTCCCCCCATCCCAGGTTGCTCCCAAGACCCCCACCAATCTAGCCAACAGTAGCAAAGAAAATTGTTTAAAAGTAGACACAGGACTGAGATGATGGAAGGCCAGAACCCTGGTGCCTCCTATTTCAACATTGGGTCAATTATTTGATGCATGGAGAGATCAATCACTTGAGGGGATAACCTTTCCTTATCTGCTCTATTCAAACCAGTGGAGGGAGGTGATTGTGTGTGTGTGTGTGTGTGTGTGTGTGTGAGAGAGAGAGAGAGAGAGAGAGAGAGAGAGAGAGAGAGATGTTCACCACTGGCATGCCCTGGGGGAGGACAGTCCAAGGATGAATGTGGCTCTTTGGCACTTGAGATATATTGTTTAGGACTCGCCCCCCCCCTTCTATTGACTGCAATTTGTTTTTAACTGATTTCAATACTGTATTTCAAAATTATTATAACTTGCCTTGGGACTATATTGTGAAGAATGGGTAATAAATCTCATAAATAGCAGAAACATTTTATAGGAAATCATAGAGGGAGCCTATCCTTAAAAAAACCACCCCTGTCCTGTTCTCTCTCAGGTTGGGGTCCCAGAATGTGCAGTGGCCAGACAGAGTCCAAGGCGCTCACAAATTAAGAAGAACTGTTAGGTCTTGAAGACCAGGGTCTGAGTAAGGTGAGTCCAACTTGTCAAGTCTAAGTAAGGGTTATTAGGGCAAAGCAGAAGACCACTGGGAAAGACATTGGACAGCTCCCTGTAGCCAAGACTAGCCAGAACTACCCAACAGTGAGCTGTTGCCTCACCAATGTGCTACACCCTTATGAAGACTGGCTGGCTTTATAGCTCCTTGGGCTACATTGCTGAGATGGGAAAAATGTGGCCTCTCACACGTTGCCAGACTACAACTCTCTTCATCGCCCCTGACCATTGGGCATGCTGGCTGCAGGTGATAGGAGTTGGAATCCAACAACATCTGCAGGATCACAGGTTTCCCATCTCTGCTGTATTGTTTGGTTGACCAGGCTGAGGCAGAAGAACTAGTTTCATGTGTTTATTCCATGTCTATTCAACCCAAAGCTTTATGCTAACTGTCACCGCAATGGCATGTGTTGCACACACCATTTTCCTTCTCTGCAGAAAGAAGGCTGGGGGCACCTCTGCATAGTTTGCCAGGAGAAGTCCCACCTGCAGAATCCAGAGCAAGTAGCTCAAGTGTTGACTCTGTATGAATATCAAAAGCCACTGGCAGTTTCTTGTGGAAGTTTGCTTATCTGTAAGAGTTGTGTAAATCAGTTTGGAGGGGAAATATACATTTCTCACTGACAGTTTCCCCTTCAAACCCATGAAAGAGAAAGTCTACACAGCCCAAGAGAAGTTTGCTTCTCAAAAACTGAACAGTTTCTGCTTTGTGCAGAGCTGTTTCTTGCTGATCCATTCAGATCAATGAAGTTTCTCCAGCCTTTGGAATTTCTGGCAAGGAGAAAGGTCTTTGATTCCTAACCTCTCTGGAAACTGAGCTGACAGGCACTTCTTGTTCGTTTCTGACCTGGCTATTCCTTTTACTCTGCAAATAGTTTTCTCTCACTCTGGAGAAAATGAGCATCTTAACCCTCTTTTACAGGGTTTACACTCCAATTTTTAAAAATTAGTTTATCGTTTGAATTTTTTTACCACTTTTCTAAACAACAAGCCAGAGTGGTTCATAAAACATTTAATATAAGATACAAAATTCACAAAACTAAAACCAACGTATCAGAAACATTAAAACCAACAGCTGTAAGTAAATACATCTGATAGGCTGTGCATTAAATCAAACTCTTCACACTTTCACAAGGATTCAAAGGCCCAAATGACAAGCTGCATCTTGGGCAACCTACAGAACTGAAGTATGGAAGACTCCTGATACAGCTTGAGAGGCACCAGGAGGGTGCCACCACCATGAAGGCCCCACATGACTCACTGTCCCATCAAGTACTGTTTGGAGTATAGCCACAAAGCCCTCTCCATAGATTTTAATTGCTAGGCGGGGGAACCTGCTTCTTCTGAAGTAAAACTCCCACCACCCCTGCCCTTTGGCTGTGTTGACTGGGTCCGATGGGACTTGCAGTCCAACAGTTTCTGGAGGACCACACAATATATGGAAGTTTACACTAAATATGAATGGTGTGAAAATAAATAAAAAGAACTCAATAAGTTCATTTGTCCTTCAGATGAAGAAAAATCTACATTACTCACAATATGCAACACACAGGGAACAAAGAAGCTATCTCTGCATTAATCTTCTTTGTGTTCCACCCCTAAAATCTCTCCCATTGTTTTCATTTTTAATTGCTGCAAAGGAACAATAGGAACACTTGTCTCTGAACTAAAATTTATTGGTTTTGCTCCCTGTGGTGTACCTTTAGTGTTGATTAACACATCAGGTCATCTGATACAATGTCTGATTGCAATTTCATGCAACCCTCACTATAGTCACAGCAGAATAATATTATTATGGATGTGAAAAACATGTGAGAATCACAGGGACTATTATTTTTTAAAGGCCTGGAGGGCATAGCTACCCAATTGTCTTTGGCAGAATAGGTCTGTCATAGACAGTTGTAGAGCTTTGACAATTTCTTTTCTTGTTATTTATTTATGGCTATATGGATTAGACATACTCATGGTGAACATGCTCATAGTAAATAGTATACTCATCTTTTGATAAACTTTCCTCATGGATGAAGCCAGAGTGTATTCATATTGACCTACATAAATGTTGTTAGCTTGTTGGCCCTAATGTCCTTTGATATTGCATGGAATTTATTCCCAGTTAGCACCTGGATGTTGCCACTGCTGTTACCTCATTCAACTTAACATTATTTCCATTTCAGGAGGCCAGAAGGGAGGGCAGAAACTGAATCTGAAATGTGATAGTCTACCTAGGTAAAACATTAAAGCTAGGATTTAACTTTAGGGCTTTCAAATGTAAGCTCCATATACTATTTTCTGACCCTTGCTGGTGCTTTCTGGTTCTGGTTTCCTCGCAATTCTGAATTTTCTACTGGCTTCCTCCAAGAGCCTGGTGGTTAGGACTCTCTGCAGTGAATTGATTCCATTAGGAAAGGAAAAGTATAAATAGCTCCATGCAGGGAGGATGTATATTATAGAATCTGTGGCAGTGGGGCACGTTAAAACAGCCAAATATACAAATTCATAGGTTGTATTTACACCTTCCATCTTCCCTTCCAGATTCCTGACTCCAAATGTATGCAACTGACGGGAGTCTCTTACAGCAGCCAAGCCAAACAACAGAAAAAAGTGAGCCTGGCAGTCAACAGCTGCCTGAATCATTCATATGTGGTAAGCCATTTCTGCCACTTGGGTGAGACTAATCCCATAAGCAAGGAGGAGTGGGAGTGACATCTATCATTAATTCATTAATTTTAAAAAGTGTGTGTGTGGGGGCCCACTGGGTTAATTTTCTATGTAGTATTTTCTCCTAACAGTTAATGAGATATGAATGATATTATTGGGTGGGACACCAAGGGAACTGCTTGATGCCATAATGTGCTGACAGACTGACATGTCAGGTTGAGTTATATGAACAATGTTCTACTACTACTGTCTTGATCAATGGAAAAATACAAAAGGGAACAAGGATTCCTAAGCATGCATTCTGCTGCAGATCATTTCTTAAGGCAATGCAGCTACCTGGACATGGGATGGCATGCTTTACTAACCTTCAGGTTCATCTCAGTCTTTTTACAGATTTCAGAAAAGGAGTGAGCATGTTCTTAGTATTTATTTAAAAAGTGTGATGAGGGAAATTCAACACAGGCTGGAATGCACTGAGCAAACTCTTAGCTTTCCTTTGGCTTCTTTGCTAGGGACTGCATACTTTCTTCCGTCCAATCTGTGGCTGTCTGAAACACAGCACAAAAACTCCTCAAAAGGTAACGTTGAGGCAGAACATTCCTACACACATCTTCTTCCTCTATGTTGCTGTTCATGGGAAGACGAGAGTGAGGAGAGAGAGATGAAGAGCCTACTTAAAATTTATGGAACAGGATTTGCTCAAGGGTTGGGATAATTTACTGCCCTGAGCTTACTTTAAAAACCTAATAGGATTAAATTTTTCAGCTTGCCTTTTAGCAACACAATCTTATGCATGTCTACTAAGAAGTAAGTCCCACTGAATTCAATGATGTACTTCCAGGTAAAGTGTATATAGGATTTCAGCCCTAATTTATTATTTCTCCCCTCACCCTTGATCATTAAAGGGGAAACCAAAACTGCAGATGAAGTGATATTTTTATTTATAAAAGGATTTGAACACTGGCCATTACTCAGGGTGTAAAAAGCACATTAAGTCAAGCTTTTAAATAGTATAATTTAGGATCAATATGTATTTTAAAAGGTGCAGGTCATGGCAGAATGGAGCTAAGCTTTTGTAAAGGAAAAGAGAAAGCTTCATTCTGAACTGAGAACTTCACACCCAAATGAGGTTCAAAGGTGATAATTAAATATGCATATGTAAATGTAAATGAAAATAGCCGAAAGCAGGATGCAGGTGATGACAACCTTGTTGTTCAAACAATTGTGGATTTAAAGGGGCACTGATAATTCGCGCCCCCGACATTACATCTATAGGGTTGCCATATTTCAAAAAGTATAATTCCTGACACCCACAAAGTTTTTTGTCTTTTTAAAAAGAAACCCACCAAAAATTGTTGGGCTTTTTTTGGGGAACAAACCCAAATTGTTGACACCATTTTCACACCCAAGGAAAACAGGACATGTCAGGAATTTTGCTGATGTGTGGCAAGCCTAGCATCTATAAAATAAGTAGCAAAAAACCTGCATCCCCACCCCACTCAGACACCATCTAGAGCAGCCTTCTTGGCCTCCAGTTACGGTTAGACTACAACTTCCATAATCCCTGATCATGGGCCATGTTAGTTTAGGATGATGGGAAATGGAGTCTAAAAAACCTGGAAGGCAACAAGTTGGACAGGCTAATAGAGATAAATTTCTATAGGCATGAAAATCTTTGTGCTCAGTGTGAGTTGGAAACAGACCTACCCTTCTCAGACACCTACACTCAGTGTTAGATGTTAGGCTCAGAACCAGCATCATGGACCTATTTCATCTTAATAGCATAGGTCTCCCTTAGTGCAACTGATGTGAAGGGAGCTTTAGAGCATTTACGATCGCTACAAAGATCAGTGTTGTTTTTTGACGCCCTTGCCCCGAGAACTGAAAGCTCATAGATGGCAAATGTCATCATGTTAGAGTCAAAGTACGCTCTATGTTAAATACGTAGGGTGGAATACTGCATCACACTCTTAATTGTTCCCTCTGCTGAAACATTTTGGCTTGCCAGGTGGAATGAACCCCCCTCCTCTCTCTGCACCCTGTTTTGGGTGTTCTCTGACACCCATAGAGCCAATTTTTTTTGGGGGGGGTGTCTGTGGAGGTACACAGGGGGGAAACTTCATTGCACAAGTGGAAGTCCTTGCAGTGTCCCTGTTGATGAGGCTGGTTCGTTGAATCTTCAAAAAATTAATAATAAGCATATTGGGAGACTTTTACAGGGACTGTAGTGGGTGGGGAGAGGAGGTTGATAAGAAGCCATGAGATGTCTTCCTTCTTCCTTTTCTTAAATATGTTTGTTCAATATACAAAGCACTAGCATCCCTCATTCATTCATTCATCCATTCATTCTATGTACCACACACCTTCCCTCAGGATAGGTCTGAGGAAAGTGTCACTCATAAAATGTCATCCAGCTTTGTGGACAAAGCTAACACTATTTTTGATTACAGGACCTGTGTGTATTGAAAAAAGGTCTTGAATCATGTTGGGTGCCATAGCCAGATGGGGAGAATTATACTGCCATACAAAATGTGGCGCTTACTGCTTAGATATTATAGACACACCTGTTTATACAGACATTCCCTTGATTACCCAACCCCTGTCTCCTGTTTTAATTACTGCGGGTTTTTTTTAAAAAGGGATTGTTTGTTGCATACTTTAGGTATGGGTGTTTATATCTTAATGTTTTATTGGGATTGTGTATCTTAATTATGGAAGTTTATATTTTAGTGTTTGTATAATTGGGTCTTATATTTGTAAACTGCTTAGAAGCCTATTCTGGCAATAAGTGGTATAACAATAAACAATATTTCATTTCTACCTAGTTTACCTATTGTTGCCTATGGGTTTATCTAAAGATGCCACAGTAAAGCTAGCCAGAGGTTGTGGAATGCATTTCGGAAGAAAATAATTTAGCAATCTCTGCAGGGGACTGCATAAATGGATGAAGACCTTTTGAAAGTTTAGTACCCTTTTGATTTCCATCAAGCTGCTATTATCCATTGTGGTATTGATCTGATTCTATTTTACCGGCAGCTGATGTGCCAGTGATGGTTGTGGGGGAGCTTAAGAGGATGCAAAGAGCAGAAGGCAGTGTTTGGATATTAGTTCAGTTCCATACTTTGGATAAACTCCTCTATCAACATTTCAGCTAATGATGCTTGCATGAGAAAACCACTTAGGGAGAATGGTGTTTCAGCAGAAATGTCGAAAGAGAGGAAGAAGGCAAGGGTGGAAATCAATTCTAACCATACCATTTCCAAATTAAGAAAGTGTTAACATTCAGTTGGAATTTTTTTTTTTAGTGATTCGGCTCAGCAATATGACCTCCCTGCCTGTTGAGAGATGTATTGAAGAACTTGCTACACATATCTCTACACCTGGTTTAGGAAACCTCTGCCCATGGACCAAACCTGGCCCACCAGGCCATTTTGGGGAAGCCATGGCTACCTGCCCAACACCTGATATCATACATGTTGTCAAATGTGGGGTAGGTAGGGTAGGGATTCAAAGGGACAACCAGGAGCTTAAAGCGGTCTCCAAATTGTTCCTTTGCTGGAGAAAAGCATGCTCCCAACTACTGGGCAATAGGAATGCACTTGTTCAAAGAGTGGGAAGTGAATTTCATTCAATAGAAAATGCTTCTCCCTTCCAGTCCTACTCTTCGCAAGCCTCCCTGTGCTGCCCCTTGAAACCTCTGACATTGGGAGCTTAAAGGAGTAGCGTGGAGAAGCTTGCAAAACATAGGGCTGGCAACACTCCTTGCAGCTTGCCCAAGTGTAAGTGAAGCAATCTACCTGTCTATCGTGTGATGTCACAATGATGCCATGCAACCCACCTCTCAAAGTTGCCCCGCAAGGCTGATCCTCATACAGATCTAGTCCACGGAGCCAAAAATGGTTCCCCACCCCTGCTCTACACCATAAGAGGTGGCATCAATAAGGAGTAGAAGCATGGACTTTTCTGTTATCATCCTGGACTTGTGTACATTGGGTTGCCAACTTTTAAACGTACCAGTGGCTTGATGTGCAGGACTGGCAGAGCATCATAATCCTTAGCAGATGACTTATCAGGTGAAATGAATGCAGGAAGGAGTGTCAGCATCAGACTCCACTGACCCAGCTCCCAACCTCTGTGTGGTCATTTGATCTTCTGTAGAGACCCTTTGCTCATCCAAGCAGAGTGAACTTAAGTCCTCTGCACAGGAAATTGTGTTCTTCAAAGCACAGGTGAGCTCACCCTGCCTGTGGAACAACCTCCTAAGAAATACTGTTACTCTCCCTTTGAATGCCCAACAACACAAAGGTTGGGAAAAGGGGAAGGGCCATCTCTCAGTAGTAAAGCACTTTACATGTAAAATGTCCTAGGTTGTATCACCAGCATCTCCAGGTGAGAGTGGCAGTGTCCCCATCTGAAACCCTGGAAAACCATTACCAGTCAGTGCAGAAAATACTGAGCAAAGGGCATCAATGGTTCAATGTGGTATAAAGCAACTTCCTATGTTCCTCAAAGGTTTTTACGCTTTTCCTGTTCCCTGGTATGATTCATTTCTTTTTAAATTGGAACTCTGACTATGACTTTAATTTGCAGTAGCTTCTAAAATGATTGTAGTATTGCATTTCCTTCCATTTCACTGTACCGTCAACTCCTTTGAGTTATTGCTTCCAGCAAAACCAGAACATAAGTATTTTAAGTGAACTCTTTGTTGACAATGTAGCCACAAAGTGACTACTTTGCAATAAGGGTTTCATGTGCTTATTCCATTATCTCCACTATTGCATTGTTTTTGTCCTTACTATTAGCTAGTCTCGGTGTACATCAAAAAAGGAAAAGCCGAGTAACCATAGAAATGAAAAGGTGTGTTGTTGTTTTTTAATGAAAGTAGTTCCCCCCCTTTTAAAAAAAGTCATATACATTAAAACAAATTCCTCTAGTATATACAATTTCAGCTTGCCTGGTGATTCCCAAGGTTCCTTCCCCCATAG